TCTTAAAAGGGACACACTCTTCGCTCCCAGAGACACGGAGCCCAGCTTGCTTTTCCCTTCAACTGTAGTCCCAGCCACTATGTGCACCTGCTCCCTCCCACCCTGAGTCCCAGGCGGACCCATTGGCTCTTCCTAAGGCTCTCTCTGGTCCCTCGTAGGAGTTTTTTTCTGGCGATTTAGCATCTCCCTCTTGTGGATTTTCAGTTATGTTTCAACTGGGTTTAAAAAAAAAAAAAATCTTCAATGTTACGAAAGCTTTTTCATGCACTTCGTTCTCCTGTGACAGCCTCTAAAACCGAATGGTGAGAAAAGTTTTGTCTTCATCTATCTTATCTTTTGTGAGGATTACACATTTGTGTACGATCTAGAAATAACCTAGCTTAAATGGAAGGGAAAAACAAGGATTGGCTGTAAATCGAGTAAAGTTTAAGGATTTTGATCCTTAAAAGTGAAAAAAGGCCAAAGGAAGCCGGTAATCAAGCTGGGGAAAGACGACGTTTAATCCTCCACTCAGAATAAACTTTCATACCTACACTGTGGACAAGAAAAATGTTATGAGACCTCATTTACTCTTCTGTCAGGGTGATCTGAATTTTGAAAGCATTGGGAAAACTGGCTATGGTAAAACCCAATATAATTAATACTCTCTTTAGAAAAATGACCCATGCATTATCATTATGGCATTTAACATTCAGAGAAATGTAGTTGGGCATTCAGAAAAAAATTAGTAAAAATCTTGGCTGGACTTTCTTATTTTGAAAATGTTTAAAAGCAGTAAAACTTGAGTAGCTGCTGAATCTGTTCTCTATTCCATGGCAGTGAATGTAGTTGTAATTGCTGACTCTGATTTTATTGGTCATGATAGCCTCTTAGTCACCAATATTGGACTGTTTTCCACCTCATCTGGGACAGAGGAAATGAGCTTTGGTAACTTAAAGACCAGGGCTGTTGGTTTCCTGTACACATGAGACAGCATTAAATTGATTCACCCTAGACAGTTCAGCAAAACCTGTAGGAAATCACTTGAGATTCAAATGTCAGTAGTAATTTAACAAGTCTGAAAAACATTTCAACTCTTGCCATGGACACACATACCTGTGGGAGTATGCACATACAAAAAAAAAAAATTCAAATGGAATCTGAATACATCCAGCAATTAATAGTTCTTTTAAAGTGGTGCCTGGCTGGCTCAGTTAGTAGAGCATGCAAGTTCCAGCCCTAAGTCGGGTGTAGAGATTACTTAAAAAAACAAACCAAAAACCCATCTGGCGATAGGTCACAAGTGATAAACCTGTTACTATGACAAAATAGAGGATATTTCAATTGTCAACAGAGTAAAAAATTTTTAAATTAGAAAAAACTATGAGCTCAATGAGAAATTACTTATCTAAAACTATGGTGGATTTAGATGTCGCTAAAAATCTTAAAACATGATATGGTAAATGTGTTCTATAGAAATAAATATTGGGTAAAATTAATTGTTAAGATTTTTTTAAAGATTTTATTTATTTGTCAGAGAGAGAGAGAGCACAAGTGGGGGGAAGCGGCAGGCAGAGCACCTAGAGCAGGCAGGAGGGAGAAGCAGGTTTACCACTAAGCAAGGAGCCAGATGCAGGACTCAATCCCAGGAACCCAGGATCATGATCTGAGCCAGAAGGCAGACACTTAACTGACTGAGCCACCCAGGCATCCCAAAATTAATTTTTAAGTTTAAATATGGTAGTAGCCAATATAGAAATGCAGGTTCCTATGCATCATTCATTTTTCCAGTTGCCTGAGGAAATATGAGTTATAAAAGCATTCATTTAAATCTTCTCTCCCTATAGTTTTTTTTAAATTATTCAATTGCTTTTGTATAGTTGTATGAATAACTGGCTTACTAAATTGTCATATGACTTATATAATTCTATCATATTCTTTTTTAAAAAAAGATTTATTTATTTATGAGGGGTGCCTGTGTGACTCAGTTAAGTGTCTGCCTTATGCTCAGGTCATGATTCCAGGGTCCTGGGATCAAGCCCGCATCAGGCTCCCTGCTCAGGAGTGAGTCTGTTTCTCCCTCTTCCTCTAGCCCTCTGCCTGCTTGTGCTTGCTCTCTCTCTTTCTCCAAGTATAGGAGCGAGAGAGCACAAGTGATTGGGGGGAGGAGCAGAGAGAGAGAATCTTCAAGCAGACTCCCTGCTCAACGGGGAGTCCAACATGGGGTTGAATCCCACAACCCATAAGATCATGACCTAAGGTGAAACCAAGAGATGCCTAACTGATTGAGCCACCCAGGTGCCCTATAATTATATCATTTTCAGTATACTCATTGCTTGTAGACCTCTAAAATTGTACAGCAAAATCCACATCTAAAACTAGCTATGTGGGTTTAAATACATTTTTAGGATTTTGTGAGCAGTACTAGAGGAATCTGTATTCTTAATATGAACCATAATTAAGACAGTGCTCTCAGAACCTGGCTAGATCTCAATTAGCCTTCAAAGACAGTACAGTACCCCTCATCCTGTAGTTGAATATTTTTTTAGCCAATCTCTTGAAAGTTTTTTTCACTTTTTTAAATCATCTCTTGTAATCATTTAATAAAATTAGGGTATCTAGGGGCGCCTGGGTGGCTCAGATGGTTAAGTGTCTGCCTTTGGCTCAGGTCGTGATCCCAGGGTCTTAGGATGAGTCCCACATCGGGCTCCCTGCTCAGTGCAGAGCCTGCTTCTCCCTCTCCCTCCACCATTCCCTCTGCTTGTGCTCTCTGGCTCTGTCTATCTCTCTGCCAAATAAATAAATAAAATCTTTTTAAAAAAAATTAGGGTATCTAACGTTTATTTTTTAAAAACCCAGGGCACCTGGCTGGCTCAGTCATAAGAGCATGCAACTCTTTATCTTGGGGTCATGAGTTGGAGCCCCACATTGGTGTAGAGATCACTTTAAAAATAAGTAAATAAAAATAAACAAAATAAAAATAAGTAAATTATTTTTAAAAATAATAATACCCAATACTGTTACTCAATAATATTTAAATATTCCTAAAGTAATTAATATTCAAATATACTTAGAGTTCCATTGGCATCTCCAAATATAAAAGATAACAAAACTAGAGTCTAACAGTTAGTGAATACTTGGGATCAGTTAGAAAAGACATGTAGCCAAATTCGCCACCTACATGGCTAAGCAATATACAACACAAAAAATCACAGCTCCTAACACAAGGGACTTAGAGAAACTCACTTGTGACACATGTGACATAAACAATACAATGTTTAGCCTTAGGAAGAGAAGCCTAAAGATGTAACAGCTATCTTGAAATATATGAAGGTTGTAATGTGGAAGGAATAACTTTTATGAGTTATTTCAAAGACAAAACCAAGTATAGGAGGAGGGGAGTTAGAGAAATTCAAAATTTTAATTCCTAACATTTCTCACAATTAGAGTTGCCAATTAATAAAACAGTTAACCTAATGAACAGCTATAATTGGCTTGAGTTGGACAAGATTACTTCTTGTTCAATGAAGTTTTGATTCAGTGAAGATCTGTCCCACCTCCATATGCTATCCTCAAGGTAAAAAGAACCATCATACAATGTTGGTTGGATCAAGGTCCAGCTAAACCGTCCAATTTTTCCGAAAGTGAATTACCATGACACATTCTAAGTATGGTGAAAACTATAAGCAGTGTATATATACATATGGAAAGTTTCGGTTAATTTAGGTTTTATTTTCTACTTTTTAAAAAAATGATAAGCATTTGTCATAAGCAACTCCTTGAGCACACTGTACAACTTTCACTATAGTATTGCTCTTCCAGGGTGCCTGGATGGCTCAGTGAGTTAACCATCTGCCTTCAGCTCAGGTCATGATCCCAGGGTCCTGGGATAGAGCCCCACATGGGGCTCCCTGCTCAGTGGGGAGCCTGCTTCTCCTTCTTCCCCTGCCCTGCTTGTGCTCTCTCTCTCAATTAAATAAATAAAATCTTTTAAAAAATAAAAATATAGTATTGCTCTTCCTTTGTGAAACTAGGTAAACATAAAATACATATGATCCTCACAATGTTCAAAAATTGCAGAGAAGTAGTTTTATTCATTGTTTGGTCAGGAATTTAATATTAGTATTAATAATTTGAATAATCCATTCAAAGAGGAAATCCAGATTAATTTTGTAAGGAAGGGTACAAAATTAGAAACTTAAGTTTAATTATCTTTTTAATGTATAAATTTTATTTTTTTTAAATTTTTTTTAAAGATTTTATTTATTTGACAGAGAGAGACACAGCGAGAGAGGGAACACAAGCAGGGGGAGTGGGAGAGGGAGAAGCAGGCTTCCCGCAGAGCAGGGAGCCTGATGTGGGGCTCGATCCTAGGACCCTGGGACCATGACCTGAGCCGAACGCAGATGCTTAACGACTGAGCCACCCAGGTGCCCCTAATGTATAAATTTTAGTTTTTGATCCAGTTTTCAGGGGAAAAAAGGGAGTCTGTACTTCCCTATGTTTAGAAGAGGTTAAATTGCCAATCTATATTTTACAAAAGCTTTGACAAGGAAACAGATTACATGGAATCTCTGCCTAATTAAAGTGAGACATCATCATGTTGTATATTTGGAAAGACTGTAGGTTCTTTAGGTCAAACTTTTTAGAAACAATTACATATCAGACTTAGACCTCACTGGACACAGCACCATAAAGTTTCTCTTTCCATCAGTGAGAAATAGCAAATCAGGTTTCAGATCCATCAAAACTTGACTTTAATAGAGTTGGTTTGAGCTACTCCTTAATACGAAGCCTAATTATTAAGGAAGTACTTAGGATAAAAACTCGGCTCTCAATTCAGTAACTATTCTGTTTAATATCCATCTCTAAAAGACAAAGCAAAAAATATAATCTGCAATCATCAGAACCTAGTTTAGAAATTGATAAAATCAGATCAATGCACTGATTTGTATTTGTAAGGAAAAAATAGAAATATCTAGTAGGATATAATCTCAGGAAGCACACAAATGGACAGTCTGTTGTGAAAATAAGTATTTATTAAAAACAAAGTTCAGAAAAAACATACTTGTTAAAACATGGTTAATTTTGACAACAGGAGGCCAGGAAGCAAAAAGTGTGATGAGAAAGTAAGAATATCAGTTACTAAGTTATATTATACCCACCCCTTCAATTATACCCCTGGTTATCTTAAAATATATAATGGTAGCTCTAAAGACTCTAGACAGATCTCTGGACTTATGGCATGTTGCCTTTCATGTTTTATTGATTTCCAACTTTAAAATTACTGGCCCAAAGGGTAATATTTTATGATACTAAATCAAATGCATATTCTTGGAAAATTTCTCTCTTTTAATGTAGTCTATGAAATATTCCTGTCTAATTCTATGCTAGAATTTTATCTGTTTTATTGTTGTTAGAAGCTTTATCAACTGTTTAAATCCTCAGGCCAAATTGCCCTGAAGGAGAAGATACATAGCCGTCCAAATTTTTTCAACATTGCATCTTTGGCCCTCTTTCTTGAAAAGGGTATAGGTTCAGTTTAATTAATACTGAATTTTTTTAATGTGCAAAAATCTAACTCTGCTTCTTAAAGCAAACGAAAGGAACAAAAATATGGCACCATTCCAATAATCAAATGCCAATAAAAATGGCAACAGTACAAAGATCTAAGCAAATCTCAAACACAGCAGATTTGTAATTAGAACACCATGCAATGATTAATTTTTAGCAAGAACAAGAAGCTTAATAACAACAGGTAAAAGAAACCAAATACTGCATTATACTGAGTACTAAGCTAAGTAACCATAATTAATCTTACAAATTCTCCAATATCATAATCACTTGCTTTAGAGTAACAGTATATAAGCCTCATTTTTTTAAGTTAAATGCCTGTTTAACAAAGCTAATTGGAACAAATACATTTATGCAAATTTACATCCTAGAATAATAAACAGGAGACATTAGTCAAGGATGGATTAAGAAAGTTCTATTCTTTTTCGTCATCTGAGTGATCAGGTGGCAAAGGACATGCTCTGTGGAAAGAATAGAGAACTTCAATAGTCACCGGAGTATTGACTATTAAAAAAAATAGTTATAAACCTATATAAATCATGAACATTAACAGCGCAATGTGTCTGGTCAAGTGAATAGAAATGAGAGAAAATTATACTCATTAGTTGGCAAACACCTACAAATTCCAAGTACTAGAGCAACAAAATCTTTAACTATTTTGCCTGTTAATTTATCAAATCAGTGTTTCTCCTTTAGGATATGTTGCCATTTTTATTAAGAAGGGAATCTCTATTTCTATCGCATCTTCTTTCAATTAAGTGGATTGATAGAGTATAATCCTTCAGCAAGAACTTTGTGAAAATAGGGATGCCTGGGTGGCTCAGTCAGTTAAGCTTCTGCCTACAGCCCAGGTCATGATCCCAGGCTCCTGGGATCGAGTCTCATATCAGTATGGAGCCTGATTCTCCCTCTGCCTGCAGCTCCCCCTGCTCGTGGGCTCCCTCCCTCCCTCTCTCTCGCTCTCTCTCTCTGACAAATAAATAAATAAATAAAATCTTAAAAAAAAAAAAAGAACTTTGTGATACTAAAAAGCAAAAAAATCAACCAGTCCATTTGAGCAAAGAAAACATAGCAAGTTGCCATATTTGACTGTATATCCTTTTGAATCATATAAACATATTACCTAATTGGAAAAATCTCAAAATTGGTTAAGTTGGTACAAGGTAGTTGTAGCTTTTGAAAAACAATTTACATTACCCCAGAGCCATTTTGTACTCATTATGCTTTTTATAGAGAAAAGTCTATGAAAAACTTAACCATAAATTAGAATTTTTTTTAGAGTTGATGAAGATCTGTGAAATCTATTCTAAAATAAGCTGTTTTGGAGGCGCCTGGGTGGCTCAGTCAGTTAAGCGTCTGCCTTCAGCTCAGGTCATGGTCCTAGGGTCCTGGGATTGAGCCCAAGTCCGCCTCCCTGCTTAGCAGGGAACCTGCTTCTCCCTCTCCCACTATCCCTGCTTGTGCGCTCTCTCTCTGTCAAATAAATAAATAAAATCTTTTAAAAAAATAAGGAGTTTTCAAATTAGATCCCATAAGCCTAAATAGTTATAGAGCTAGGTAGTGAAAAAAGGAAGTTAAAGGTATTCTGACTTGGTATGAGATTATCATAGACTTACCTACTATTAGATTACCAAGAAGACGTCATTGTATTTTCCTGGAAGTTAAATCAAATTAACAAATGAACACTATCATGAGCCAAGCTTCTTTTTTGCAAGGACCTGCTGTAATTTATGTATCATAGCTCTATTCAAGGTTTTAGGTAGACAATCTTTCTTGATTCTGATTCCCGCCCGCCCCCATGCAACTGAAGGGAGTTTACCCTGCCTTTGTGAGAAAAATAAAGCTGTAGGAGTAGCCATGTTTCAGATTATAAATTAGAGAGTTTATAGCAGAAGTCCTTCTGATAAACTGATAGTTTATTAACTACTATCAAAAGTAAATCTATTGATTTACTATCAATAAAAAGGTAATTACAGCTTTCCTAAACAAAGACAAATCTAAGAAGGGGGTCTAAAGGAATAATATAAACCTTTATTACCTAGTTTTATGTCACAAATTTTATTACACCGTGGATCAAAGTTCTTTATGAAAATATACATGTAATCTTTCTCCACATAATTGAAAGCCTGTAATATATATTTTATTGTTATGATGATCAATAATGGTCAATGGTATAGCCATATTTGGCTATATTGCCAAATATTTTGTTTCCTTCGTGGAAGTCACAAATAATTCAAGAGGGTTGTAATATATTCTAGAGGTAATATTGACTATTAGCCTATTATATGAGAATGAGAAAGAACAAGGAAGAATGGTACCAGACAGTGACAGGGAGGTAGAAGAAACTTACAGGATCATGAAAGCAAGTCTATTAAAAGGCTCTATCTAAAAATGTATCCCATTTATTGTTGACTTTTATTGAAAGCAGAAATCGTAATAGTGACATAGCAACAAAATCTAAAATTTAGTTACTGCTCTAGAGTTTGACATTCCTTTTAGATATCTCCTAACAGGGATGCCTGGCTGGCTCAGTCAGAAGAGCATGTGACTCTTGATCTTGGGATTGTGAGTTTAAGCCCCACATTGGGTGGAAGGATTGCTAAAAATAAATAAATAAACTTAAATATCTTGTAACATGGATGGTAGGCACTCAATAAACATTTATTAAATTATTTTATGAACAGCATTGAATTGTTAAAATTTTATATGCATAAGCATCATTTTATATATCCAAATATTTTGTTTGTTTGTTTGTTTGTTTAAGATTTTATTTATTTGACAGAGATATACACAGCGAGAGAGGGAACACAAGCAGGGGGAGTGGGAGAGGGAGAAGCAGGCTTCCCGCTGAGCAGGGAGCCTGATGCAGGGCTTGGTCCCAGGACCCTGGGACCATGACCTGAGCTGAAGGCAGACGCTTAACCATCTGAGTCACCCAGGTGCCCCCCCAAATATTTTGTTTTAAATGCTCTTTCAGCCATTTATTTTTATTTAGTTTGTGTTCAATGGAAATCAATTCCAAACACAGCATACAATCCCAAACAGATGTACAGTGTTCAGATATGAAGCAAAGGGAATGTTCATTCACACCCAGAGATCCCCCACATAGCTTGAGATCTGTTGGGTCTGGTTGTTCCCCTATAAGTTTCTAAAGATGGCAAATAGTGGTTTAAGACTTATTAAGCATACTATGGTCATATTGGACACTATAAAACGTAAGCATCAGTGTGTGAATATGTGAACCAAAAATTCATGGACTGTCATTTCTAGAAAACTTTCTGTACATCAAGGTAGTTGTAAAAGTTTTACTTTCCAGAATCAAGTACACCTAGGTTTAGGACCAGGTTCTAACTATCTAAAAATACTGATATAGAAAGTGTTCCAAATGTAGCTTTTCTGATTCATAAATTTTTTTTAAATGTATTCACAGAAAGACCCAAAAGAGTTGTGAATTTAATATAGGCAAGTCTTGGGGCACCTGGGTGGCTCAGTTGGGTGAGCGTCTGACTTTTTATTTTGGCTCAGGTCATGATCTCAGGGTTTTGGGATCAAGCCCCACATGGGGCTCTGCGCTCAGCACAGAGTCTGCTTGTCCCTCTCCCTCTGCTCCTCCCCCTGCTCAGCCTCTCTCTCTCAAATAAATAAATAAAATCTTTAAAATATATACATATATTTTGGGGCGCCTGGGTGGCTCAGTTGTTAAGCGTCTGCCTTCGGCTCAGGTCATGATCCCGGGGTCCTGGGATCGAGCCCCGCATCAGGGTCCCTGCTCTGCGGAGAGCCTGCGTCTCTCTCTCCCACTCCCCCTGCTTGTGTTCCCTCTCTCGTTGTGTCTCTCTCTGTCGAAAAAATAAATAAAATATTAAAAAATAATAATAATAAAATAAAATATATACATATATTTTATATATATATTTAGGCAAGTCTCCTGTCTTCACTTCCCCAAATACCTAATATACATTATTTTTGCCTCCTTCATATCTTTGCATCTTAATTTCAGTATTTGTCAAATATGCCTTCAAAACAGCAATTTTTAAGTTGTAAAAATTATTTAACAAATGCAGAAATAAATGGCAGTATTTTAAGATTGATTGAAATCAAAGCATTTCATATCTTTGGAATCAAGTTAAGTGATCCAAGTTAACTAAATGAATCTGGCATTCTTATTGGATGGGAATGAGTGATAGGAAATACCTGTCATTTGACTTTTAAGTGTATATGCAAAAATTACTCATGCTTAGATTTGTAGTAGATTCCAATAAAACATCATTGCCCTGGAACATGTCAATTACTACATAAAGTCACATGCAATATCAACTCCAAACACCCAGAGGAAAGAGTTCCCAAGAGAACAATAAAAACTTAACAATGTAAAATTTTATGTGGAGTATATCAGCATTAAAATAGGACTGCTGAAATAATACACAGAGGATTTACAATAACACCTGGTGGTTCCTTCCAATGTACATATAAATAGAATAATGGAAGCTTTTTATATTACCTAATCATTTTACGGCCTTCTAAATTTAATGAATCAAAGTAAAAACCCAATTTCCATTCCGCAGCTAATCCCTTTTCTCTAGATCAAGGTGAAATTATCATTATCAAGGAAGAGTTTCAAGTGTCCATATTTCTTAAGCTACATTTAATCACATCATTAATTTTCAATGTCTCTCTCTTCAGTCTTGAATGTGAAACTCTAGCAGATTTAATATTGGCATTCGTTATCTAGTCAAATCCTTCAGATGCTCTGTAAGTCAGTCCAACTGGGGACTCTCACATTTTCTGTGTTAGTAAAATAAAAAGTGGTATTAGTAGATCTGATAAAGACTGTGTTTTCCTTGTCACATTGGACTTCTAGTTACCATATGGATTGGGCTTTAGAATATGTGTTAGTTAACAATAGATGTTTTTTGGCCTGGATCTGTTTAACAGTAGAGATGTAGAAGGGCAAGCAAGACCACAAGGAGAATGGCCACTGACTGCAGGGCACAAGTGGACACTGTGGGTTCAAACAGAGGACCCGGTGTGCTGGCTAAAGGAAAGTGTGACTAAATCTGTGTGGATAGGAGCAGTGCCAGAAGTAGCAGCCTCAGACTGAGCCTGGCCACCAGCCCCTTGCCCATGTTGGCCACTGTGCCTTGGGTCAGACTTGCTGTTTGGTGTGCTGTTGGATCATAGGCTCCTGGCTGGTGCAGGAGAAGTAACTAGCAGGGTCTCAAACCAGGGGGCATCATAATGACAGTGACATGGCACCATCTGCCCACCCATGCTCACCATTCCCCATACCTCCAGTCACATAATTTGTCTTTGAAACACAATTCTTCAAAATTGTTTAGAGAGCCTGGATCCTATTACTTATAAATCTATTTTTTAAAAAGCAGGTTTTCTTTGCCTTTATTTTTTCCAAGTGGCATTATTTTTTTCCTGATTCTTAGATATTTGTTGTTGAAAGTTGGTAGCACAAAATGAATATGAAGAGAGGTTTTTACCCAGAGATAATCACTATTGATATTTGGTCTGTTTATATACATGTTTTTACACCATAAAAGCTGTTCTTCTATATGCAGAATTTTTGCTTAGTATTTATCATGAGCATATTTCTGACATTAAGAGCTTAAAAAGCATGATTTAATTATTTTCTTTTTTTTTTTAAAGATTTTATTTAGGGGTGCCTGGGTGGCTCAGTTGTTAAGCATCTGCCTTCAACTCAGGTCGTGATCCCAGGGTCCTGGGATCGAGCCCCGCATCGGGCTCCCTGCTCCTCGGGGAAGCCTGCTTCTCCCTCTCCCATTCCCCCTGCTTGTGTTCCCTCTCTCGCTAGCTGTCAAATAAATAAATAAAATCTTAAAAAAAAAAAGATTTTATTTATTTATTTGACAGAGCGAGCAAGAGAGCACAAGCAGGAGGAGCAGCATAGGGAGAGGGAGAAGCAGGCTCCCGTCTGAGGAGGGAATCTGACACAGGGCTTGATCTCAGGACTTAGGGATCATGACGCGAGCCGAAGGCAGATGCTTAACTGAGTGAGCCATCCAGGCATCCTGATTTAAATATCTTTTTTTTTTTTTTAAGATTTTATTTATTTATTTGACAGAGAGAGAGAGAGTACAGGCTGGGGGAGTGGCAGGCAGAGGGAGAAGCAGGCTCCCTGGGAGCCCGATGCGGGATTCCATCCCAGGACCCTGGGATCATGACCTGAGTGGACGGCAGTCGCTTAACTGACTGAGCCACCCAGTCTTCTCTATTTATCTCCTTTAAAAACTATGCAGGGGCGCCTGGGTGGCTCAGTCATTAAGCGTCTGCCTTCGGCTCAGGTCATGATCCCAGAGTCCTGGGATGGAGCCCCACGTGAGGCTCCCTGCTCCGCGGGAAACCTGCTTCTCCCTCTCCCACTCCTACTGCTTGTGTGCCCTCTCTCGTTGTGTCTCTCTCTGTCAATAAATAAATAAATAAATAAATAAATAAATAAATAAAAATAAAGTGTGTACACTGGGGGTGCCTGGGTGGCTCAGTCGGTTAAGCATCCCACTCTGGATCTCAGCTAAGGTCTTGATCTCAGGGTCATGAGTTCAAGCCCCACACTGGGCTCCCCGCTGGGCATGGAGCCTACTAAAAATTAAATGAACAAAAATTTTTTAAAATAAACAAATGTTTAAAAAAAGTATGTACACTGAACTCTGTATGTGTGCAGTTGTATTCCCACCTTTTTTTTTTTGAAGTATTTTTAGGTATTTTTAGAGAAGTTGTAAAGAAAATACACCATGGTGTTTTGGTTTTCTAAGTGATGGGGATTTCTATATTTTCCAACTTTTCTACATTGGTTATTTATTTCTTGTGGAGGTTGAACTAGTAGTTTTTTGAGGGGTTGAGTTAGTAGAATTGATGCTGGATAAACTAACATAGAAATTGCTTTTTTGAAAAAAAGTATAGAAAATAGACAGTAAAAATGAAAGAATAAAGACAGGAAGTTCACGGTTAATAACTTAGCACTTAGCATCTGATTGGGAACTGATCCTCTTTGAGTGACTGAAAATGAGTAAAAATAATACTTTTCACTGATGTTTGAAATTTAGGAGCGACTTAGAAAAACATTAGCACAAGTTTTAAAAAAACTCTGGTTTGTGTTTTCTTATCCGTTCAAGGAGAAACTTTAAAGTTACTCAATATCCCCCTGTCTTTTACTTTCAAGAATATAAATATTTTCTTTAGATTCCAGAATATAAAAACTTACTTTCTTTTTGCTTTTCCTAAGCCACTGCTTCCTGCCTCTTCAGGAATCCGATTCTCTTTTTCAGAATCTTTAGGAGACAGCCTGAAGAATTCTCCAATTCCTTTTTGCCACTTGGGAGTTGGGCGCACACAAACTGGATTCCCTCCTGCATACTTATTTTCAACTATAAAATAAAAACAGATGGAACTAAATAAGAACCAAGGAGGGCACCTGGGTGGCTCAGTCGTTAAGCGTCTGCCTCGGCTCAGGTCATGATCCCAGGGTCCTGGGATCGAGTCCCACGTTGGGCTCCCTGCTTGGCGGGAGACCTGCTTCTCCCTCTCCCACTCCCCCTGCTTGTGTTCCTGCTCTCGCTATCTCTCTCTCTCTGTCAAATAAATAAATAAAATCTAAAAAAATAAATAAATAAATAAATAAATAAGAACCAAGGATACAACTGCCATTCCTTAAAGGGAAACAATTTTTTAACATTAAATCTACAGAGTATTAAGTAGTATTACATCCATCTTAAAATAATTAGGAAATGTGAGATGATAAAGCTGTATTCAGTCAATATTATATTATACATTATTATAATACAATGTATAATAATATTTTGTTAGAGTTATCCTTTGTCCTAGGAAAACAAAATTAACAGAATTTTTACAACTGGAAAATACTTTCCATAATTTAATCAGAAGCAGAGCTATTCAAATAGTTTTATGTATTGTCATACTAAACTTTGACACATTTTTTCGAATATGAGGTATAGTATAAACCACCAAAATTTTACTTAACAAGGTTTTTAAAACACCTGTGAGGGCAACTGGGTGGCTCAGCCGGTTGGGTGGCTGCCTTCGGCTCAGGTCATGATCACAGGTTCCTGGGATCGAGTTCTGCATCGGGCTCCCTGCTCAGCGGAGAGCCTACTTTTCCCTCTCCCTCTGCCTGCCTCTCTGCGTACTTGTTCTCTCTCTCTCTCTATGTCAAATAAATAAATAAAATCTTAAAAAAAAAAACACCTGTGAAAGGCAAAATAAATATACAGCAATGTGAAAGTTTCCACAAAATTAGGTTTCACTTTTCAAAGCCCTCGGCTCCTTTTCAGTTCATAAGGTAAATCCAATTCCTGATTTTTTTTTAAGCTCTACACCCCACGTTGGGTAAACTTATGACCCTGAGATCAAGAGTTGCATGTTTTACCAACTGAGCCGAACAGGTGCCCCAATTTCTGATAATTTTTTTTTATTTTAAAATAGTAATATAGAGGGAAAATTTCTGCCTCTTTATGAAGTAATCGTTAGAATACCAAGATGAGCAAATTACTGAGCCACTACATATTTTTTGCTTTAAACACATTTGTCACAAACTACCTGTTATAAAGTTGCTTCCATATATACTCTCTGAAGCTTTTTTATTTTCTTTTTAAAGATTTTATTTAGGGGCACCTGGGTGGCTCAGTCGTTAAGCGTCTGCCTTCCGCTCAGGTCATGATCCCAGTGTCCTGGGATCGAGCCCCGCATCAGGCTCCCTGCTCAGCAGGAAGCCTGCCTCTCCCACTCCCCCTGCTTGTGTTCCCTCTCTCGCTGTGTCTCTCTCTGTCAAATAAATAAATAAATAAATAAATAAATAAATAAAGAGAGAACAATCCTGAGCAGGCGGAGAAGCCGACACCCCACTGAGCAGGGAGCCGGATGCGGGACTCTATCCCAGGAGCCACCCAGGCGCCCCTCTCTGAAGTTTTAAAAGTACAAGTGGCTTTTAAAAAATAGTGATCTGGGGCACCTGGGTGGAGCAGTAAGTTGAGGGTATGACTCTTAGTTTTGGCTCAGGTCGTGATCTCACGTTCGTGAGATCGAGTGGGGTCCAATCACAGCAATGGAGTCTGCTTGGAGTTTCCCTCTGCCTCTGCCCCTCCCCCTCAATCTCTCTAAAATAAATAAATAAATGTTAAAAAATAAATAAATAATAGTGATCCTTTGGTTCATAATTTTCCAAAAGGAAACTTATAGGTATGCTTTGACTACTTAGAAAGTGTAGGGGGCGCCTGGGTGGCTCAGTCCATTAAACGTCTGCCTTTGGCTCAGGTCATGATCCCAGGGTTCTGGGATTGAGCCTCCCATCGGGCTCCCTGCTCAGCAGAGAGCCTGCTTCTCCCTCTTCCTTTGCCACTCCCCCTGCTTGTGCTCTCTCTCTGTGAAACAAAGAAAGAAAGGAAAGAAAAAAAGAAAAGAAAGAAAGAAGAAAGTGTATGGCAGCAACCTATAGCTCAGCACAGAATTCAAACCCAGCTCGAAGTGCCTGGGTGGCTCAGTTGCTTAAGGGTCTGACTTTGGCTCAGGTCAGGATCTCAGGGTCCTTGCTTGGCAGGGCGTCTGCTTATCCCTCTCTCTCTGCCCCTCCCCCTGATGGTGCTCTCTCTGTCTCTCTCTCAAATAAATAAATAATTTTTAAAAAAAAGATTTTATTTATTTATTTGACGGAGAGAGAGACAGCGAGAGAGGGAACACAAGCAGGGGGAGTGGGAGAGGGAGAAGCAGGCTTCCCGCGGAGCAGGAAGCCCGGCGCGGGGCTCATTCCAGGACCCTGGGATCATGACCTGAGCCGAAGGCAGACGCTTAACTGACTGAGCCACCCAGGCGCCCCAATAAATAAAAATCTTAAAAAAAAAAATTCAAACCTAGCTCTGATTTAATTTTGTGACTTTTTTTTTAAGATTTTATTTATTTATTTGACAGAGAGAGACACAGTGAGAAAGAGAACACAAGCAGGGGGAGTGGAAGAGGGAGAAGCAGGCCTCCCGCGGAGCAGGCTCCATCCCAGGACTCTGGGATCATGACCTGAGCCGAAGGCAGATGCTTAACGGCTGAGCCACCCAGGCACTCCTTAATTGTGTGACTTTTACCAAGGTATGTAACCTGAGCTTAAATGTCCTCATCACTTAAAATGAGGTTATTATCAATTTCATACAGTTGATTAAAAATAGAGATCTGTGGGTGCCTGCCTGGCTCAGTTGGTGAAGCATGCTCTTGATCTCAGGGTTGTGATTTTGAGCCCCATGTTGGGTGCAGAGATTACTTAAAAATAAAATCTTAAAAAAAAGAAAAGAAAAGAAAAAACCAACAATAGAGATCTGCAGGGGCACCTGGCTGGCTCACTGCATAGAGCATGAGACTCTTGATCTTAGGGTCCTGAGTTCAAGCCCCTTGTTAGGTGAAGAGCTTACTTACAAAAAAATAGAGATCTGTAAAATGGCTTAAGAGGTGCATTTGGAGGTGCCTGGGTGGCTCAGTCAGTTGAGCGGCTGCCTTCGGCTCGGGTCATGATCCCAGGGTCCTGGAATCGAGTCTCGCGTCGGGCTCCCTGCTCGGTGGACAGCCTGCTTCTCCTTCTCCCTGCCGATCTGCCTATTTGTGCTCTATCTATCTCACTGTCAAATAAAGAAATAAAATCTTAAAAAAAAAAAAAAAGAAGTGCATTTGGCCAACATATGTTCATTAAGGGCTTATCCAGTTGGCTCTGGTAATTCAACAGTGGACTAGACAATGGCATGTGGCCCTAATTGTAATTTAGTGGTAAAGGGTATAGAATATCCTCAATAAATTAATCACCTTTCAAAACTTTTGACCTACAGCTCCTTTTTATCTAAACAGAGTAAATTAGTAAATATTTTCTAATGAAATATTTAGAACAGGGGTAAGTTTAAGTTAACTTAAGAACCCATGAAGTTTGGGACGCCTGGGTAGCTCAGTCGTTAAGTGTCTGCCTTCGGCTCAGGTCATGATCCCAGGGGCCTGGGATCGAGCCCCGCATCGGGCTCCCTGCTCAGCAGGAAGCCTGCTTCTCCCTCTCCCACTCCCCCTGCTTGTGTTCCTGCTCTTGCTATCTCTCTCTGTCAAATAAATAAATAAAATCTTAAAAAAAAAAAAAAAGAACCCACGAAGTTCTTCACTGTGCTCCCCTATACGCTCTTAATTAGGCCTTGTGGAATTAATTTTCCTTACTGCTTAACTTCCTAGGGATGGAATAAGGCACCAGATGGCACGGTATGTTCTCAACCTCTCCTTGCACAGAAGGAGCAGTGTGAAGCTATTTCATCAGCCAAGTTTTCCCTTCTAATGTCCCAAAAGCAGTATCAGGAGCTGCATAGTTGGAAAAAACACACACACACCATGCTAAAAAACAAACAAAAAACCAAAATACATGCAGAAATGAAAACAAAAACTTTTACACTAAGAAGACAACGTGAGGGTGCCTGGGTGGCTCAGTTGGTTAAGCCTTTGGCTTCGGTCATGATCCAGGATGGAGTCCCACATCGGTCCCCGCTCAGCGGGGAGTTTGCTTCTCCCTCTGACCCTCCTCCCTCTCGTGCTCTCTGTCTCTCATTCTCTCTCTCAAATAAATAAATAAAATCTTTAAAAAAAAAAGAAGACAACGTGATTAGCACTGTCAACTATGGTCCCAATTCTTAATCTAGTGAAGGTGAGCTTAAATAGCCTCTTGCAGGAAAAAGCCATCTGCCGATATTAAAAATTAAAATGCCAAACTAGAAAAGAAAAAGAGTTTGAAGATAAACTGTGTCTGTCCCTAACCCCGAGGTTGGAGATTCTTTTCCTTACTACCCCCACCTTTACCCCAACCGGCCGAGAGGCCAAGGTCCTCTCATTATATCCGAGGGCAAGGAAGAAATTCAAGTGTAAGGATCACAGGAAAGTAAATTCCACAGTGGGTCAGGAGGCTCGCAGGTCAGGAGAACTGTGGTGTAAGGCCTGATCCCCTTTGAGAAGATTCCTCCAGGAGTTGCAGGGGCGCTTTTTACCTTTCCTTGACGAAAGCGATGTGGAATTAGTGGCAGAAGTGGAGGAACCAAGCACCTTCCTGGGGGCTCGCGAAGCCACCACTGCGGAGAGGCAAAAGAGAGCATTCAAAACAGGGCAGTAAGGTTCCGACGCCGAGTCTCTCAGAACCACGTTCTCACCACAGTCTCCGACCCCGCCGCTTGGAGAGGAGAGCCCCGCGATCCAGAACAGCCCGACAACCCTCCCCTGTCCGCGCCGCTCCTTCCTCCTGGTAAACGGGCCAGGCCGCGGCTTCCAGAGCTGCTGGACCAGTCTGGCTCACAGGGCGGTGGAGAGCCCTGGCCTCTCCCGCCCGTAGCGGAGCTGCCCGGAGAACCCCCTGCCCTCCACTGCCGTGCCCAACTACCTCACCTTTTCTGTAGGTGCCTGGGACACTGTCCGCTTTCGTCCGCACCATGTTCAAACTCGAGGAGATGAGAGCAATCAAATGACTTCCCAACCGCGGGGGTTTAACTGCACAAGGACTCGAAAAACGAATCTCCCGCCACAGTTTATATTGGTCTCTTTCCCGCGCGCTCCTCGGGCTCTCCAGGGAAGCCGCTCCCATTGGTTCCGCGCCGTCCCCCCACAACCAATCGCCGTTGTCCAGCGATGACAGCGGCGAGGCGAGACTCAGTACCGTCCCGTCCATCAGCTTTGCAGAAGCTTGTGATTCGTACCCGCCCCAAGTGGGCGGTGCCAAGGCTCTTTCCTGGGATGCCCCAAGAGTGAGTGCTAAGATTATGAGTTAGGGAAATGGGCCTGCTTAGAAAAGAAAACCCAGGAAAGACAGCGAATTACAACATTCCTTCAAAAGTTACCCCAGGATTAAATCCATAATGATTGACTCCAGGAAAAGAAACTTGAAATGAAGCAGATTTTTAAATGCAAATCAGAATAAAGAATTTTTTTTTTATACCTCAGATAAACTCTCTCCACAGGATGCATAACAAAACAATTCTATGGAATGTTAGAAAAGGAAGATAATTTATTTACAAGGCTTTTCTACGTTTTTAGTATGGTGTGAAACTAAAGGAAAAACTGAGTGGATTGTTTATACATACACACATAAAAAGGAATAAATTAATGAAAGGTCTTCCTGAGATCTATATGGTCTCAGAGTTCCTTCAAAATATGCCAAATGTCAGGGTGCCTGGCTGGCTCAGTCAGTGGAGCATGCAACTCTTGATCTTGGGGTTGTGGATTTGAGCCCCACCTTGGATATAGAGATTACTTAAAAATAAAATCTTTAAAAAAAAAAAAGCCAGATGTGCCAAGGGTATATCCCTGACACACAGTGATTATAACGCTAGAACAGGAGCTCACAACTATTTTCTATCCCTATGCCTATCTTCTAATTACTCAAAATCCCCCCGGGGAGTGATTTTCACTCTCTGAAAACCATGCATAAAACATGATCAGGGGGCGCCTGGGTGGCTCAGTCGTTAAGTGTCTGCCTTCGGCTCAGGTCATGATCTCAGGGTCTTGGGATCGAGCCCCGCATCGGGCTCCCTGCTCCGCGGGAAGCCTGCTTCTCCCTCTCCCACTCCCCCTGCTTGTGTTCCCTCTCTCGCTGTCAAATAAATAAATAAAATAAAAAAAAAAAAAAAAACCATGATCAGATGAGCTTGCCTTGGGATGTATTTTGTTAAATGCTCACTTGAAAGGCAGTCCTGAAAGTGTAAGCAGGGCATTGATTCTCTCCTGTAAATTATGCTTGAACTTTTGGAAAATAGGCTACTAAGTACTTCAGTAGAATCAACAACTACTTTTTGTTTTGGAATTAAAGGATCTTGAAAAAAAAGATTAAAGAATCTAGACAAGTGAAATTATATATTATAATTATATTAATTGTATTATAATTCTATTAATTACATTATAATCACAGGAAATGTATTGGAAATTACCTGTAGCTTTGTCTAACACTTGGAGTCTACAGTAGAATTCCTATCAGAAAAATCAACAAGCCCCAGGGTATTCCTTTCTTCTTTGTTATCATGCCCCTCTCAATACACAATCGTTCTTCATTACACGTTATTTCCTTTTCAGTTAAAGTGGCTTCTACAAAGGCCTGAATTACTTAATTCAAACTCATATCCCAGATTCCTGTGGAGATTAGAACAGCATAGAGAATCTGCTGGTCTTTTCTCTTAGCTCATATGCCAAGTAAATGGCTAGAAAGAATTGTAAATATACCTTTGCACGCAGGAACAGTCTATTACTATAGCTGCGCTTGTATGTTTGTCTTTTAATAATGGGGAAGAATGCATATTAAGGTTGAAAAGTTGGGAAACGAGCAGTGATGTCTAGAAAAAATTCTTTTTTTTAAAAATTTTTTTGAAGATTTTATTTATTTATTTGACAGTGAGAGACACAGCAAGAGAGGGAACACAAGCAGGGGGAGTGGGAGAGGGAGAAGCAGGCTTTCCGCCAAGCAGGGAGCCCGATGCGGGGCTCGATCCCAGGACCCTGGGGTCATGACCTGAGCCGAAGGCAGACACCCAACGACTGAGCCACCCAGGAGCCCCGATGTCTAGCAAAAATTCTTAATTTAAATGTTTGCTTTGAGGAAGTGCTTCTCCTTTAATTAAGTAAAACACAGAGGATTGTGTGGTGTGAACTTGAAAATTTCAAAGGCCTAGGGCATTATGAAAAGTTGTAGTACATATGTATGAAATATCTGCCTACATTTATACAAAAGAATATCTTTAAGTCATGTTAAATAGGTGCACTTGCTTTGCTCAGGCAGAAGTGCATTTTAATAGACGATAATGACTATAAATGGCATTATATTACATTACATATATTACAAACTGGAGATTACAATCATTAACATATGCTTTATATAAAAAGAATACTTGATCCTTTTTTTTAGGAATACTTTATTCTTGAGGACCTAATAATTTCGTCATAATTTATATGATGTACTAAGTCCTATTATAAAAACAATTTTGTCATAGTCTCTGTGTTCAAGAAGTTGACATTTATTTATTTATTTATTTTTTTAAAGATTTTATCTATTTGTCAGAGGAGAGAAGAGAGAGAGAGAGAACAAGCAGGGGGAGCAACAGGCAGAGAGAGAAGCAGGCTCCCCGCTGAGCAAGGAGCCTGATGTGGGGCTCGATCCCAGATCCTGTGATCACGACCCCAGCTGAAGGCAGTTGCTTAACCAGTTGAGCCACGCAGGCATCCCCGGAAGTTAACATTTAATTGTTGGAACTGAACAGACACAAACAGGTAAACAATTTGGGTATGTTATATTAATATGAAAAGTAGCAGATTTTTAAGAAGAAACCAAATTTGTACTCACTATTAATGAAAATTCAGAGTATTTAAGGGTTTTTTTTTAAGCTAGAAAATCATATATTTTCCAAATTAATAACAAAGACAATCTATACCCAATGTAAATCAATATACTTATATGATTTTGATTATTTATGTCAATGAAAACATTAGCATAAAAAAGTGAAGCAGGATCCAATTAATGTAATTGCTTAGTTTACACAGCCTAATGGGAATGAAGAACCTATACGTTTAACAGGAAGTCAGCCAATTAAATTTACTGATGGGGGCGCCGGGCAGGCTCAGACAGTGGAGCAAAACTCCTGATTATCAGAGTTGTGATTTTGAGCCCCACACTGGGTGTAGAGAGAACTTAAAAAATAAAATCTTTAAAAAATTTTATTGATGAGATATATCAGAGGATATTAAGCTCTCCAGAATAGTCTGGCTAATTCTCCCCAGTCCATTGTCCCAGTGGAGTAGGGAGTAGTGAAACACATATAAGTCTGGCTTCTCGGGTTGAAATATCTTTGACTTTTAAAAAATCACTGCAAAGGGGGCACCTGGGCGGCTCAGTCGGTTAAGCAGCTGCCTTCCACTGAGTGATCCCAGGGTCTTGGGATCCAGCCCCTCCTGGGGCTCCCTCTCTGCTCATCCAGGAGCCTGTTTCTCCCTCTGCCGCTCCCTCCGCTCATGCTTTCTCTCGCTCACTCTCTCTCAAATAAATAAATAAAATCTAAAAAAAATAATAATAAAAATAAAAATAAATAAAAATCACTGCAAGGGGCGCCTGGGTGGCTCAGTCCATTAACCGGTTAAGAGTCTGACTCTCGATTTTGGCTCAGGTCATGATCTCAGGTCGTGAGATTGAGCCCCACCTTGGCGTCCAGTTCCTGGCTCAGTGGGGAGTGTGCTTGAGATTTTCTCTCTCCCTCTGCCCCTCCCCCTTGTTCTCTCTCTCTCAAAATAAATAAATAAACCTTTAAGAAAATAAAAAATAAAAATCACTGCGGGATGGGGGATGGCTGAAATCGGTGGTGGGGATTAAAGGCACTTGTGATGAGCACCAGGTGTTACATGGAAGTGTTGAATCACTATATTATACATCTGAAACTAATATTACACTGTACATTAACTGGGATTTAAATTAAAAACTTTAAAAAGGACAATCGTTGGCAGAAAAAAAGTATTATATAAATTTAAAAAAAATCACTACAGAGAATTTATGTGGAAGTTCTTAAAAGCCAAATCCCAGCACCTTTTTTTTTATTAGAACTCTTTCCCCCCTCCCCCCAAGCTTCCTGGGTTATCTTGGCCTCCCCGGAAAAGACCTGGCTTAAAAAGAATTTAATAGAAAGAGGTTTTAGCAGTAAGAATCTAGGTGGTCCACCAAAGCAAATCCTCACAGTGGTTACTCTAGCTTGCAAGTGCTATTTTATTTTTTTATTTTATTTTTTATTTTTTAAAGATTTTATTTATTTATTTGAGAGAGAGAATGAGAGAGAGCACATGAGAGGGGTTAGGGTCAGAGGGAGAAGCAGACTCCCTGCCGAGCAGGGAGCCCGATGCGGGACTCGATCCCGGGACTCCAGGATCATGACCTGAGCCGAAGGCAGTCGCTTAACCAACTGAGCCACCCAGGCGCCCTTTTTAAATTTTTAAAAAATATTTTATTTATTTATTTGACAGAGAGAGACACAGCGAGAGAGGGAACACAAACAGGGGGAGTGGGAGAGGGAGAAGCAGGCTTCCCGCGGAGCAGGGAGCCCGATGTGGGGCTCGATCCCATGACTCTGGGATCACGACCTGGGCCGAAGGCAGCCGCTTAACGACTGAGCCACCCAGGCGCCCGCAAGTGCTATTTTAAATGTTTTACATAAAACCAGAATAATTTAAAGGCTGGCCTCTCAGATTAAGAGTTTTATTTTTTCCTCGACTGTAGTTGTTACAGGTATTTGTACGGTCTTCTCAGCAGAATTCCCGATTCTTAAGCCCTACATCTAACGATTTAGAAGAATCACGCGCAGATGAGCTCTGGTACCAGTGTAAACAATGTCAGGAAGCGGGAAAGAGGAGGCGGCAAGGGTGGGAGGGATCTGTGCTGGGGGCGGTGCCACCGCGAGGGGCCGTGCAGGCTGGCGGAACCCGCGCGAGCTAGGTCGGTGTTGCGAAGGGGACTAGTCCGGCGCAGGACGTGGGGCTGTTGGAGCCCAGCTGGTTCCGGCTGGGAAAAATGGCGGTGGCTGGGG